ACTGGCATTTCAGGAATTGTTTTCCTCTAATATTTTAAGCAATTTTCTTGTTTCAGTAGTAGGTAAAATAGAAATGTACCTAATATTTGGTCCAAAACATACTGGTCACCTTCATTTGTTTTCTTCCTCAAAGTATATTTCCTAACACAGGCAGCAAATCCTGCCAGGAAGATACAGCCTTGGAATGTCTGCTACTCTGATCTCCAGGACTGACAACAAATATTGCAAAATGAGACACTGTATATACAATTTCAGAAGCCTGGTATTCACAGCAAAAGTAAAGAAAGGTCTCTTAGATAACCTGGAAACCAACTTGGGAACTTATAAATAGCACAGTAAGTAAGAATTGTTCATCCTATGTACAGAAAAAGGCAGAGGCCATCTTATAAATTAGTATTCAGTTATGTGACTAATGACAGTCTTCAAGTGTATGAAGCTTTGCATAACATTTATGATGCAAAATATGCCTAATTCTGGAACAATCTAAGTTTCAGGTAAACACATTTAGAATCTCAATTATGTCAATTTAACACTTGCTGTCATGTGTTATTTCCTGACCTTTTAAAGAATAAACTGCTCTGTCACCCCATTGGCTGCTCATCTTATTCATGGGCTTCTCACCTCACCAAACCCCCTCTCAGCACTTCAGGTCAATGCTGCCAGGCCTATGCTCCTTGCTCTTTGCCAAAGCTCCCAAGCTCAACTCAGCTCAGCCAGCCCTCCTGTCCTTGTCTCTGATGACACTCTTTCCAGCCACGCACTGTCTCTTCCAAACTGCTGTATCTGCTTCCCAGTCAAACTCAGAATCCTCTAACCTAAATCAAAGGAAGAGCCAGTTCTCAGCTTCTCAGTTATCTTTGTAAAATGCTACATCCACTTTTTCTTTCCCAAACTACTGGTCACAGGGTTAGCATACTTGATGTACCAGCTTTGCGCTCCCCTCTTCTTCCTAAACTTCCTCCTCTTGTCTGCTCATATTTCCAAAGCCTCCCGATTCCAGCATGCCAGTCCTCAGCCTAGTTTATGACCCAAATTTCCCAGTCCAAATATAGTTGCATTACTGTGCAGTATCTCAAGAATCTAGCTCTTCTTTTCTTCAGTTGAACCTCGTCTACAAAGCTTCTTCACCATGCCTATGTACCTGAATGTTGTCTGGGTGCTCAAAGTTCCTCCTGCTCCCCATAGAGAGGAGGCAAGAACATTCCAAGGCAACAGTTTCTCTGGCCATTACCAAAAACATGAAGAAAAATAATAGTGTCTTGTCCCCTCCCTGAAAACAATCAGGTTGCATTTTTAAAAATCAAGGAAAAAATTACCTTAAAGCAGAGAGCTACTGAAATAAGATCAGACCCAAATACTTAACATCACAGGCAGTCAGTAATACTTGGATGCTTTTCCCAGAGCTCTTATTCCAGCAGCTTATCCATGTCTTTGTTGGAGTTGTGAAATGAAATTTTTTGTATGCATTTTGAATGCTTATGCACGTTCTAAACCATATACGTGTATCAATCTTTTTCATTTTGGAAATGAGCTTAAAAAGGCAAACTTTCAGCGCTTTTAAGAGCATGTGACTGTAATTTTTCCTACGTTTTCCAATAATTCAGTTTTCAGACTAGTATCCTAAAACCAATGGCAGGGCCTTGCAAAATCTCAGATGCAATTCAACAAACAGCTGCTCCTGCAGCTCAGGCCCAGGCTGCTCCTCACAGCTGAGCAGTTGTTAATATTTATTTGCAGAATCTGTGAAAAGATATGGGTACTCTATAAAGAACGAGATGGAAAATCAATTCATCCTCCTCTTCTGGAGGACTCGTTATTACTGCATCCAAATTCACGCTATAATGTTGCCACCTTTCATCACTCCAATGCCAAATGTTTTATATTTAGCATTATATGTCGGGCCAAAAAGATTTTGTATGTGGTTTAAAAGGACAGCTGAGAAATTCTCAGGTTTAGGGAGTTTTTGAAGGGCAGAAAGCTAGAACTTCACTGCCATGAAAGATTACAAAGATGTTTCCAGAAATACGTTAGCAGTAAAAGAAGGTATAAGAAGAATATCCATCCTTTCTTGGATGTAGGGGGGAAAAACATAGTGATAAAGGCTGAGGAAAAGGCTGAGGTACATAATGCCTTCTTTGACTCAGTCTTTAACAGTAAGACCAGTTGTTCTCTGAGTACCAGCCTCCTAAGATGGAAGAGACAGTGAGCAGGATGAAGCCTCCATAATTCAAGGGAGAATGGTCAGTGACCTGCTACACCACTTAAGACACACACAAATCTATGGGGCCAGATGGGATCCACTGCAGCAGTTCTGGCTAACCTGGGAGATTCCAGCTGACTGGAAGTTAGCAAATGTGATGCCCATCTACAAGAAGGGCTGGAAGAAGGATCTGGCTTTTCAGTCTGACCTCAGTGCTGGGAAGATTATGGAGCAAATCATCTTGAGTGCCTTCACACATACAGGACAACCTGGTGATAAGGCACAGTCAGCATGGGTTTATGAAAGGCAGGTCCTGCTTGACTAACCTGATCTCCCTCTATGACAAGGTAACCCATTTAGTGGATGATGGAAAGGATGTGGACGTTGTCTACCTAAACTTTAGTAAAGTCTTTGATATACTTTATCACAGCATTCTTCCTGGAGAAACTGGCTGCTCATGGCTTGGATGGGTATACTCTTCTGGGTAAAAACTGGCTGACTGGCTGAGCCCAAACAGTGGTGGTGAATAGAGTTAAATCCAGTTGGTGGCTGGTCACAAGTGGTGTTCCCCAGGGCTCAGTATAGGGGCCAGTTCTGTTTAATATCTTTATCAAGGTTCTAGAGAAGGAAACAGAGTGCACCCTCAGTAAGTTTGTAGACAACACCAAGTAGGGCAGGAGTGTTGATGTGATGGGGGGTAGGAAGGCTCTGCAGAGGGATCTGGACAGGCTGAATCAATGGGTTAAGGTCACTTGTATGAGGTTTGACACGGCTCAGTGCCAGGTCCTGCACTTGGGCCACAACAACCCATGCAGTGTTAGAGGCTTGGGGAAGAGTGGCTAGAAAGCTGCTTGGCAGAAAAGAACTTTGGAATGCCGATTGACACAGCTGAACATGAGCCAGCTTCTGCCAATGTGGCCAAGAAGGCCAATGGCATCCAGGCCTGGATCAGCAATAGTGCAGCTAGCATGTCCAAGGAAGTGATCATCCTCCTATACTGGGCACTAGTGAAGCCACACATCAAATCCTGTGTTCAGTTCTGGGCTACTCACAACAAGAAAGACATTGAAATGCTGGAGAGTATCCAATGAAGCTGGTGAAGGGCCTAGAGCACAAGTCTCATGAGGAACAGCTGAGGGGATTGTTTAGCCTGAAGAACAGGAGGCTCAGGTGAGACCTTATCGATTTCTACAACTACCTGGAAGGAGGCTTTATCAAGATGGATGTCAGTCTCTTCTCCCAAGTAAAAAGTGATAGGAAAAGAGAAAATGGCCTTAAGTTGTGCCAGAGGAGATTTAGATTGGATATGAGGAAAAATTTCTCCACCAGAAGGATTGCTAAGCATTGGAACAGGCTGCCCAGGGAAGTGGCTGAGTCACCATCCACAGAGGCATTTAAAACATATGTAGATGTAGCACCTAAAGACATAGCTTTGTGGTGGACATAGCAGTGCTGGGTTAATGGTTGGACTCAATGATCTTAAAGGTCTTTTCCAGCTTAAACAGTTCTGTGTAAATGTGTAAGTTTTGTATGTTATGTGTACAAAAAATATGTTTGTAGACTATGTTTCCTATGCTGAATTTCATAATATAAACACTTTGTTACTACTTCCCATATATTCATTGGGTCTATTTTCCTGAAGGTTGCTACTAAAAACAAAATCATTAACACTCCAAAGCTGATAGTTTTATTACTCATCAAGACTAAGGGGGTCAAGGTTTTACCACACCTATTTCATGTAAGTGCATTTAACTCTCTGCTTTCACCTGTGTGAAATTTCCTTCTATTCTACACTATCATAGTCCTTATTTATGAGATCGGGATTGCTGCTATTGACATATGAAAATTCAGAGTTACCAACTCTAATTAATTATTTGCTTCAGAACCAATTTGATGGTAATATTAACAAAAAATAGTAGCAAATTTTCTAAACCTATTCCACAACAGCAGATGACCATTCATTAGTAAACATGCACTAGCATAACAATAACTGAAAACGGGTTATAACTACTGTACTTTAGACCAATAACATATATGAAGGTATGCAAACTAAATCTATTAATTTGATTCAGTTTAATCTGATGGTCTCCAATACTTTCATACTTAATTCCTATGTTACCACTGAGTAGGCTGGGAATCATTTCAATTAATCTTAGCTTTTCTTTCTGACAATGGAGTAACTCCAACACCATGAATCCTAAAAAGCACTAAACCAAGAAGCACTGTAGCCCCACAGCAAAAAGAAACCTCCATCAGTCACCTTAAATTTGTTTAGAAACTCAAATGGCTTAACTTCATACACACAGGGTTTTTTGCAGATCAGATTCTCTTTAACCAGCAGCAGCCAGCACGAAAGTGGCATAACCTCTGTATCATGTGCTCTAGTTAATTCAACAGAAATGCTGTGATGCACCCACACTTGATCCATATCAAATATGCACACATTATGATCCAGAAGTACAAAAATCTGGTATTAATGGACGCAAAACCATGGACTTATATGACAGCCCAGCTTTAGATACTCTGCAGATTTAACTAACAGGGTTTTCAATAGGTTTTTCCTTCAGCATATATAATACTTCTAGTAGCTGCTATGTTCTTTTCCACATAGATCATTAAATTTAGATTTGAGTAAATGAAACACAGAATCAGATGACAAGTCCCCTCACAACAAATTTGAGTCACCTATAAAGGGCTGTAGATACGTCGCTACAATCAATTCTTATAGGTAAAACATACAATGGAATGGAAACTAAACCACATCTATATATTGAAACAGTTAAAAAATTAGGAATCTTACCTTTTTCACTAACACTTTCACTTTCAATCTCTACATCATCACAACTTGTATACTCTGGAGTGGATGCCAATTCTTCTTCAGAGCTACTTAATGAAACCTGGCGCATTTTACCTCCCTTTTTTGTTTTATGGGGCTTTGGTGGTGGAGGTCTGACAGATTCAGACTGGTCTGAGCTGAGTGAATCATTCCGTAACATGGTCTCCATCTTTTCACGTTTTGTTTTCCGTACAGCAGAATTGGGATCCAAATGGTGTTGTTTCCTTAATGAATCAGAGCGCCTCATGTCTGGTCTATCCAGAGGAATTGGACTCCTCCTAGGTGTAGGAGGGCTATGATTTGTGGTCCTCTGACGACTGGGACTTGGTCCCTGAGCCTCTCGAGTTCTTTCCATAGAGTATGAACGCTGATTTTCCATGGCAGCCCTGCGCTCAGATACTGATCTTTGCCTGGATGGTCGTTCCATCCTCATCATGGACATCCGAGAATCTTCCAACTCAGTATTTGCAAGTGAGACATCACTATGTCTCCGTTCATGGCGTGCTCGGGACACTTCAGCATGGATACGCATTTGTTCCTCATATGGTTGTGGCTTGACAGGATAACGAGCCAAATTAGGATCACTTCGGTATCGTGCCTGGTATTCCTCTTCCCTTCGCTGCCTTTCATATTCTTCCCTGTTTTGTGCATCTTCCTCTTCTACCGGATACTCCTTGGAACGCCTGCGACTCCTTCTGTTCGAATCTCTATAATCACCCAGTTCAGGTTCTTCATATAACTGAGGCCCACGCTGTGACCGCCTATCTGAATAATCTGATGGTGACCTGGGCATCGCACTGTCTGATGTAGCATACTGTGAATATTCGTCTCTCTCGTCCCTTTGATCGTATCTTCTGTTCTGTTCTCTTGATATTGATGGGCTTCTTTTCCTAAATAATCATGACAGGAAGGAAGAGAGAGAATTTTGTCAATAGTTCTTGCAACACAAATATGCAGTTAATGCTAATTAAATGATAAAATGATAATCTGATGGAAAAAAAAATCCATTCATTGCATTTCTTTGTGAATGCACTCACACATTTTCTGTACTAAACTAAAGAAAAAAGTATGTCATGCTACAAATATGCTTATGGTGCACAGTTTAAATCAAAAACAGCTTTAAAGGAAAAATGCTAATACAACATTATGAAATATAGAATACAAATACTTACTTTACTTTGTAGTCGTAACTGCTTTACAAGTACCAAAATTTTATAATCCTTTGTAAACATTGTATAGCAACTTGGCTATAAACGTCTCTTTCACAGGGTTTTATAATCACTGTAGCAATTAAGGCTAGATGGACCATTCTGTTGGTTTGATCTTCTAGCAACCATTATGGCTTAAAAACATACGTATCAGTTCCCACAAAACTATAATGTGTGCCAAGAGCAGAGAACAGGACAAAGATCCAGTGGCAGCACTTATCTAAACCCAACGAGCTCAGAAGACCTAAACTCAGAAAACAGACATTTCTTGTGTTGCATAAAAAGGGAAAGAGCTTCAAAATCCTGATCTCTGACTTGGCAAAAAAAAAAAAAAAAGAAAAAAAGTCTTTCCCATGCCTTTAGGGATGGGAATATTATTAGTCCAAACATTTGAGGAAGACAGACCAGCCAGATACCAGAATGGAGCTCCTGTACCATATTAAGCATTGACTCTTTGCCATAGATGAAATCTAGTCATAAACAACTTCTAAGGTTTCAGAAAAAAGGTAAAAAAAAAAAGAATTATCAGCAGATGTTCTTTCCTGACATTGACAAATGGTTGACTGAAGCATGTAATTTTATTACATGCAATATTTTAATAGAGGATGTGTCTGGAATATATTATGAATATTATATGTTCTGGGTTTTTTTGATACAACATTATTTGCTACTTAATTAGAAGGGATCAGTTAAATAGGGAGTAGTGATTCACAGTAAAAAAACAAACTGGAATGTCAGATCTTGCCTTCATCAATCTTAACAGCATAATGAGCATTTAAAATGCTACGTACAGATTCATACCTAGTTCTTTACCCAAGAGTGATCTGAAGGGGCTGCCTACACAAAACTGGAGCAAAGATCCCAGTTGTGGATAAAAGAGACTGGGAGGTAGGTCTTCTCTGGGATAAGACAGATCAGCTTACGCTTTAAGTAATGAAAATATGTATATGAATCTATTTTTGTGTTATCAGGACTTTCCTCTTATATTTCGTTCTACCTTTAAAACTAAGATCCCTTTGCAAATGGTTTCTACCCTCACAGATAGCCAATGATCCTGAAGGGCAGCCTTACCGGCAACAACCAGAAGATCCTGCCTACTGTTGGGAAGAACAGGAAAAAGGAAAGCAAAGACACAGCCCTGTTGGTGCCACAGTTTTCCTAGAAGGGATAAGGAAGGGAAAGGCTTCAACTCAGTAAAGGGAAAAGGAAAAACAGGCTCTCCTTGGTGCCCAGGAAAGTAGAAAGGGCTCTGCCTAGCTAGTAGGAGAGAAGAATGCTTTTCTCACAGTCAGAAAGGAAATGCATTCTCTGCTCAGCAAGGGAAAACCACCACTGCCTGAGCTGAGTGTGCGCAGGGGGGTGACTGGCAAATTGATATCTCATCTTAGGTACTCTACAGGGTTATTAAACTGTGCTTGAAAGATCTGGACCCAGTATTGCCTTATAAATATTAAAGTACTTTATCCTTACAGCGGTATCTGCAAATAGAAAACTAATTCAATCTTGCAAAAATGAAACACTTCCTGTGAAGCGTGACAAGTAATATAAGCATCACTGGGATGCCTACTCTCTTATGGTGTAGCTAACATGTCCTGTCTGTCTTATTAAAGTGTCATGTTAGTACCAGAACAAGTCATGACCTCTGTAAGTTTAACAAAAACTCTATGGATTCTGCTATGAGGGCCTATAAGTTGGATCATTCTAATGTGATACGAAAGGAGTTTTGTTAAGTCTAAAACCAAAACGGCCAGGAACAGGCAATTAGGACAACAGAACTATCAGAACCGAGTTAGTTTGCAAAGACATAGATGTTTTCATTAAGATAACAGAGATTACATGTATAAATGTTCTTTAAAGAAACTAAATATTTTCATATAAATACTTCAGCTGATGAAAAATATGCCACATCCCAAACTACATTGTTTCAATAGCAAATCACCCGCATCGCTGCCATGCCACCAACAAAAATATGCTTAATTTCCCCTCACCAATTCTGTCCCTATAGGCACAATCTTTTATCTCCATGCAAATGCAACTGGAATAAATGGCACTCAACAGATCTGCATTCATCCATGGATCTCACTGCAAGACTGAGACCTGTGCACATGGAATGTACACGTACTCTACTGTTAATGCACTGTGTATACTCAGTGTGTATTACATATGAATCAAGTTGTATTCACAGCCACAGATTTTGGCATAGATTCAACCATCCAAGACATCAAAACATTGTAGTGAGTATGGTTTATAGGATCGACTCTACCATGAATTGTGTAACACACAGAACCATACAGAATGTAGTTGACAAATCTTACGCACACCTTGGAGCAGGCTGAGTATATACATTCTCCGGGATTAAACATCTGCATGCATGTATCTATAGTAATATAAACAACAGACTAGTAAGAGCTGTTTTAGCTACATGTAGGAGCTCATATATATATATACATGCACACACGTGTGTGTGTATATTTATATGACTCTATGTCACAGCGTCCTCATATAGATGCAAAGAGTATTGGACAAATCTGTTTTGGAACCATTACTGCCACAAAGTCATGGGGGGAGAGGCTAAGAGGATAAAAAAGATAGAATCTCTCTACCAGTAAAAACACTTATTGTAGGCTTTTTGCTGAGATAAATGTAGTTCTATCAGGAAAAGACATCATCTGAGGAACGGGCAAAAGATTTTCTAAGTCTTTCTAAAACTAAATCCAGGTTTTTTTTTTTTAGCATGAACTATGTTAATGAGAGGAAGATTTGCCAATGCAGCATTTTTATACCCTTTACACAAACATTTTCTAACCTTTTCTGTTACATTTACTGCAAGTAGCCATTGCCTTTCCTTCATCTTGTTGCTAAGATATGAATATATGGCTAGCATCTATATCTGACAGTAACATAAAGATCTGTTGAGTTCTGAATCTATTCCAACCTTCCGACCTTTCATGAAGTTTATATAGGTGCCCTGCATGTGGCAGCTACTAGGCCACATGCAAGAATAAGGACCTTCCTGAAAATGTAACCTTTTTCTTCAGAGAAAGCAGCCTGATAGACAAAAGTAACTGATTTAATTTCTGGCCTATGTTGATTGGCACTATCAAACTCCCTTTCTAATTAGTTTCATCCCAGCTGAAGGGATCTAACTTCACTACCAGGATCAAACGTCAGAAGCTGTAAACCTATCCATCAGAAATAAGTAACTGTACACCTGGATCAGCCAGAAACCTTGCTGGCCAGAGAGGTATCCTGCCCAGCAGTCACCATAACACTTAGTGTTCAAACCTGTCATTCCACTTACAGGTCATTACAACACAGTTAGCTCCCCTTCACCATTAGCTACTTCATTTTAAAAATACCAGCTACCAACACAGCTGTACAATGTATGGTATACCTTTTAAACCAGTGCTATTAAATCATGCTAGGAGGAACAGTACTTGTGAAAACTTATGGCCAGTCACTACTATTAAAATCCTGCTGTTATTTTTAGATCACAAGCTAATTCTCAATCACCTTCATGAGCCTTTGTCTAATCCATTTCTCATCATTAACTACCTGAAAGATAACTTTATAAAGGCCTTTCTTCCTGTACCTCCATCTGGATAAAGGATAGCAAACAACTGCCTTTCCAAGACTTTCCTGGAATATTAGAAATTAAGAGAACTTTAAATGTGTGTCAACAGCTGTGATATGCACCATCCAGCTGTTAGTTCAAATAAGCACTATATATCTGTCAGAAGGATTAGCACCTTTTCAGAAAAGGTTACCACACCACTGAAAAATCCTCCCCTCCACTGTGATGACTGCTTCTTTGAAACAACAATGAATAAAATATTATGGCTAGAAAGCTACAGAACCTGCACAAAAATTTTCATCAGGAACATTCTATGAAAATTATTTTTTCATATCTAGCAACTGAGACTTATTTTCTACTAATTATCACTGATTTATGGTTGTTGGTTTTTTTAATTGTTATTTATCAATACACTACTTCAGTGTTTTAACACACAATTTTACACTGATGGAAACTTATTTGCAATGCACTACAGATATCACCAGCATTATGAAAAAGTTCAGGTTGACTGTAACCTGAACTCCTGTTCATAAAGTTAAATTATTCAACTACCCTACACTACAATAGGAAGTAAGTACTTAAATATTATATAGAAGAATATAAGGCAGCTATTTCACTTTGACGGCTCTGAATTCAGTAATGGAACTAAAGAGCTTGAAATCCTTTGACATACCTTTGTGTTCTTCCTTGATGAGAAAACACTCTTTTGCTTTGATTTAGATTTTTAAAAAAATAATCCATGTGTACTGAGAAAAATGAAATTTTCAAAGGCAAGTTTCCATCGCATTTCAAAAGCATTGTAATATATAAAGTATTTATATCAAAGTCAAAACTAGATCCCAGACCTTTCTGACTGCTGATCTTATTCTCAGCCAGTAAAAGACCCGTTCAAACTGGAGAAAAGTTTCAAGAAAATCTCATACAAAGATATGTTGAAACATATGGGTACCTGAATTCATCTACATTTACTTTGAAAATTTTATATATAAGAAGTTTTGTGAGCCATCATAAACTACTTGAAAACTGAACATTAGTCTGGTACTTGTAAAACCTAATAAAAATTACTAGACAATGCTCTAGTATTCTGTTCATTGTTTCCTATAAATTA